TCTTCTACTCCTACCTCTTCTTCCTTTCCTCTTTTGACTCCTGCCTTGGTTGCTCTTGCAGAATTTAAGATTTTAACCAGGGTTTTCACTATACCTTTAGCCCTGCCCATACATCACAAATTAAAACTCCATGCTGATCTACCCAAAGAACTCCTCATAGCACCGGATTCCCTTCAGGCTCCACCAATGGGCTTATTTTCTTTTCTGACTTGCTCTAGCCATATTCAAACTGCCATAAATATAGTCAAACAGAGTTTTTTTTTTTTTAAGTATTCTAAACTGCTGACAATTCCTTCAAGAGAATATATCTATATTATTCTTTTTGGGAAAATAGAAGTTCCAGGAGTCATAGGACAGCATATTCCTCCTCCTTGAAAATTTATTTTTCTTTTCTACCATTCTTTTAGTAGAATTCCTCAAACCTGTCTAACAATTCATTCTGTCTCTTCTTCTGGCTTCTCTTCTACTACGCGTCCTCCAACTTTAAATGTTGTGGCTTCTCAGGACTCTTTGTTCTTGTTCTAAAATTTTCTCTTGGAAATCACATATGTATACATAAATGTATTGAATTACAACCTATTCACTGAATACAAAAAGCCTCTTTCGACTGCAAGCTCTGTATATATAAATGGCTACGACACATCTTCATATATATCACAGATTTTTGAGAAAACTTCAATCAACCTCAACAGGTCAACACTTAACTAATATTCTCTTAGAAATCTCTCCCTCTGAATTAGAGTAATGCTAGGTATTAAAAATAAATCACAAAACATATAATGCTTAAACACAATTATTTCTTCCTCATGTAATAATCTAAAATAAGTTTTCCTAGTCAGTAGGTAATTTTCTTCTATCTAGTGATTTAGAGACTCAGTCCCTCCCACCTTGTGGCTGCAAACATTCCTTAGGGCTTCACTACCACCTAGCCCTCACAAGAAGGATAACACAGAGAAGGAATCTCCACTTTTTGTAGTGCATGAAAATAATGCACATCACTTCTGATAATATTCTATTATTGAGCCACATGGCCAAATTTAGATGAATGGAAGATTAGGGAAAGTGTTCCTTGGCAGGGTAGCCCTTTCATATTAACAGCTCTATTCTATAAAAGAGGGTACACATGAAATTTGGTGGAGAGTTAATCTTTTCTGCAACCTTCACTCATGTTTTCAATCTTGGTGAATGGCATCATCCCATCAACTACCCATTTACCCAAATCATAAATACAGATCTTTAATTTTTTCCTTCTCACTTAACTAATCATCAAGTTCTCTCAAATCTAGATCTTCTAAATCTCTGTGATAGCTCTTCCCTGTTTCCATCCTCACTGCCACTCCTCAACTTTTTAATACCCGGATGTTATCATATTCCTCTGCTAAAATTTTTTTAGTGGCTCTCTGTTTGGTGACAGGAAATTAACCTGTTATATATGATACAAGGTCTTTCATGACCTGGTCCTTTATAACATCCAGAATTATTTCTTGCTATCCCTCCACCCCTTATAATTTATACTGCAGTAGTAGCAATAACAATAAGTAGAATGAAACAAATTACTTACAGTTTCTAAAACAAGCTTTATTCCTTCACCTCTTAGTTTCTATCTATATTGCTCCTTCTTCATAGGATGAAGGAAGTTTGTCCATTTGGTAAACTTACTGACCCCCAGATCAAAAGTTTTCTGCTCTATCACATCGTCCTCTGACTGCCCATGAAACTTAGAACTGCCTTTTTTATTATTTATTATTGAAGTATAACTGACATAAAGGATATTAGCCTCAGGTATATAGCATACTCATTTGACAATTCTATACATTACTCAATGCTCACTATAACTATAGTTACCATCTGTCATCATACATTATTACAATATTATTGACTATATTTCCTATGCTGTACTTTCCATTTCCATGACTTATTTTATTTTATATCTTATTTATTTCACCCATTTTGCCTAACCCCACCAACCTCCCCTCTGGCAACCATCAGTTTGTTCTCTGTATTTAAAAGTCTTGTTTTTTTTTTGGTTGTTCATTTTATTTTTTACATTCCACATAGAAGTGAAATCATATGGTATTTGTCTTTCTCTGATTTATTTCACTTAGCGTAATACTCTCTAGGTCCATCCATGTTGTCACAAATGGCAAGATCACATTCTTTTTTATGGCTGAGTAACATTCTACTGTGTGTGTGTATATGTGTGTACTCACACACATATATATACATACCACAATTTCCTATTCATTCATCTATTGATGGACACTTGGGTTGCTTCCATATCTTGGCCACTGTATGTAATGTTGCAATAAACATTGGGATGCATACATCTTTTCAAATTAGTATTTCTGTTTTTAAAACTTTTTGTTTTTAGATTTTATTTATTTGATAGAGTGAGCAAAGAGTGAGCACGAGCAGGGGGCACAGGCAGAGGGAGAAGCAGGCTCCCCACTGAGCAGGGAATCAGATGTGGGGCTCGATCCCAGGACACTGGGATCATAACCTGAGCCAAAGGCAGCCACTTAACTGACTGAGCCACCCAGGCACCCCATATTTCTGTTTTCTTTGGGTAAATACCCAGTAATGGAATTACTGGATTGTACAGTATTTCTATTTTTACTTTTTTAAGGAACTTCAATACTGATTTCCATAGTGGTTGCACCAATTTTTTTTCCTACCAACATGTTGGTGCCTGACCTTTTCAGAAGCATACCAAAAAGGAGTCATTTAGGGGTCCCTGTCTTAAATTATAAACAGCAGCCTTTTCAAATTTGGCTATTTTGCTCACAGCCCATGATAGAATGTGTAAGTAAACCAAACAGCTAAATGACTGGCTATTTGGATGAATTTGATATGTATTTTATGAAACTGCATTCTCTACAAAGCAGTAAAAAGTCCATCTTAGGTACCAGAAGGACCCAAGGATTGTGTAAATCAAAGAATATAAGTTTGTAATTCAAATTAATCTTTCAACAGCTAAAACTGAAGGGCGGGAACTCTCATAGGCAACTTTTAAATTTCTGCAGTTGAGGCTTCAGGGCAGGAAACCAGAAGTTTTGCACATATTGCTCATGAAAAAAATATTTTTAGGGAGTGCATTTTCAATATAAAAAATTAAAATTAATTCTCCACATCCTCACCAACACTTGTAACTTCTTGTCTTTTGGATACTGGCCATTCTGACTGGCATAAAGTAATACCTCATTGTGGTTCTGATTTGCATTTCCCTGATGATTAGTGATGTTGAGCATTTTTTCATGTGTTTTTTGGCCATCTGTTTGTCTTCTTTGGAAAAATGTCCATTCAGGTCCTCTGCTCATTTTTTAATCAGATTGTTTGCTTGCTTGGTGTTGAGTTGTATCAGTTCTTTATATATTTTGGACACTAACTCCTTATTGGACATATGTAATTTGTAAATATTTTCTCCCACTAAGTAGGTTGCCTTTTTATTTTGTTGGTGGTTTCCTTTGCTGTGCAAAAGCCTTTTATTTGGGTGTATTTTAGTTCATTTTCGCTTTTGTTTCCCTTGCCTGAGGAAACATAGCCATAAATATGTTGCTAAGGCTGAGAAGAACAAAACTGAAGGTATCACAATCCCAGATTTCAAGATATACTACAAAGCTACAGTAATCAAAACAGTATGGTACTGGCACAAAAACAGACACATAGATCAATGGAACAGGATAGAGAGACCAGAAATAAACCCACATCTATATGGTCAATTAATCTACAATAAAGGAGATAAGAATATAGAATGTGGAAGAGTCTTTCCAATAAATGATATTGGGAAAACTGGACACCTACATGCCAAAGAATAAAAACAGACCATTTTTCCTACACCATATATAAAAATGAACTCAAAATGGATTAAAGACCCAAATCTAAGAACTGAAACCATAAAACTCCTAAAAGAAAACTTAGAAGTGTCTTTTACTGAGTTCCAACTGCCTTTTGTAAAAACCCCAATTGGAGCAATTGTATCTAAATGCACTAGGTTTTTTGTTTGTTTCAGTCTAGCTACTAGGCTATAGCTTCCTAAAGATAGGTTCCATGTCCTTTCATCGCTGTACCTTTCATCATATTGTGCATAATAGAATGTAAGCATCAGAAGAACAAAAACTTATTTCACCACTGTAGGCACAGTGTCTAGCATATAAAAGACACAATAAATTCTATTAAATGAATTCATAATACGCATTCAATGCATATTTATTGAAGATAAAAACAGAAAACAGTGTAGTAGAAAATATAGTGTCAAATAAGAGTCTGAAGGGCTCAGTTGGTTGAGCATCAGCCTCTTGATTTCGGCTCAGGGTCTTGGGATCAAGCCCCACATCAGGCTTTCTGCTCAGTGGGGAGTCTGCTTGTCCCTCTACCTCTACCCTTCCCCTTGCTCTTTCTCTCTAAAATAAATTTAAAAATAATAAAATTTTTTAAAATAGTAAAGAGTCTGAATCCTGGTTTGAGCATGTTACTTTGAACAAGTTATTTAATCTCTCTGAACTTGAGTCTCTTTTGCACTGCAGACCTTACAGAATCAGGCTCTTATAGATTAGAAATGAAGTACATAAAGCTCCTAGCACAAAGCCTGCACTATTTTAACAATCACATGCCCTTATTATGAGCAGCAGTTACAACTTACATAACCAATGTTTATAGCTCTTTCAGTATTCTTAAACATATAACTATGTTGACCATAGCACATTGAAACCTAAATGTTTTCATCTTGGAAGAAATTTTATAGGACTTATAGAAAGAATTTTTAAAATATCTAGATTGGTTTGTCTTAAAGCATATTACAAGTTCTGAAAGGTGTTAATTTTATTTCTAAACCCAAGCTATAATTTCCCCAGAATAAAAAAAATATAACAAAGAAAAAGTATTAATCTCAGAAGAAATTTTTTTGATAAAAGCTAACTTTAAACCAAAGTAAACTGCCAATACTAATATATGACATAATAACAACTGACTTAATTGGAAAGATAATGGAAGATGTACTTTACCTCACCAAATCCAAAGTCCCACGATTGCTTAGAATGCAATTCTTCCAAAGAGATATTACCCCTAAGGATCATAAATAAGATGCTTTTAAAGTGTGCTTTATTTCCTGCTGAAAATTATTATTCTAAATTATGGTTTCCAAAGTTGGCTTCAGATCAGAATTATAAGGGAAGATTTTTGAAAAACAAAGATTCATAAGCTCCAACCTAAAGAACTTATTTATTACGTGTGGATCAAACTTGGTATTTTTAATTTTAAAAAGTCACCCCCCTCAAGTGATGTGAACCTGCAGCCAGACTTGGGAACCATGTTCTAAATCCCTTTCATAAAGTAAATTTTAAAATTCAAGGCCTACCATGTTGTTTTTCATTCACAACTTTCTGAGTATTTGGGAATTTGACAACAAAGCAGCTAATTTATTGATTTTATTAAATAAGTTGTTAATCTGTATTTTAATTAATTTGTTGTGCCAATCCCATAAAAATAGCATCTATATACTCTTTTTATAGATATTGTAAATATTTCCATAAGAAAGTACTTTCGGGTGCCTGGGTGGCTCAGTTGGTTAAGCGACTGCCTTCGGCTCAGGTCATGATCCTGGAGTCCCGGGATCGAGTCCCGCATTGGGCTCCCTGCTCGGCAGGGAGTCTGCTTCTCCCTCTGACCCTCCCCCCTCTCATGTGCTCTCTCTCTCATTCTCTCTCTGTCAAATAAATAAATAAAATCCTAAAAAAAAAAGAAAGTACTTTCAAAATAAAAATATATTCTAGTTCATGATTTTCAGTTACCAAGATCTGACTAAATCACAATTATTACCAAGAAAGTTTGGGCTATTCTGAAACCAGAAATTTTGTTTAATTCCCTATAAAAACAGTCCCATAAAATGTTAATATGCTTATGCCATTACAGTTGAATTCTATCACTCTCTTGCTCTGATTCTATACTAACCAAACAACCTTCCCATGGAGAGCTGAGCCAAAAGTTAGAAAATATGCTTACCATGCAAGTAAGCATTCCTATACATGTGACTCTTCTATTTCTTACTGTAAATTAATAAACTGCATTCTGGTGAGTATGTAAGTCAGTTTTCTCAAACCTAATTAATACTAAGATTCCAGTTATTTTTGCAATAGCAAATATAGGCACCATACTCTCAAATAAGGTGATTTTACCAAGATTCTGACAGCTGAGAAGCCATCCTTGAGGCTGGTCTACCCACCCCCAGAGAGCAATATGCCTACTCACTTTTCATCAATTCCAACATTCAACATGCATTATACTAATAGATCCTGATTTGCATTCCCCAGATTTACCTAAAAACTTACATATGATTCACTGGATATTTCTGGCTTCCATTCTGTGGTGTCTTCTCTTGGTAATCACTTTTAAATTTTCCTTTAAAAATAAAAGTATGCACTGAACTCAAAACCTTAACAGAGACTATCTGTTTTTTAATTTGAAGCTTACAAACCACATAGAATAAAATTACTGATCCAAAAAGTCATGTAATAGAATGTCATTCTGTTTCTAATTTCCTGTTCTTACACACACACACACACACACACACAAATTGAAAACAAAAAATCCCAAAAGATTATGTTTTCCATGTATAACACTTACCTTTTTTTTCAAAGCTGGCTGCATAACAATCCTTTTCAAAAGATGTACTAAGAGTATTTCTTTCATTACTGTGGTACTCTTTTTGATACCTCTTGTTTGGCTGACACTTTTCTGGATAACTTGTTTTATTAAAAGTAGAATTACTAAGAGTCAACACTGGATCTGTAAAAATTCTTCTAACGCATCTATCAGTTGAATCATTTTTATCAGAACTTGTGATTGCACAAATATCTCCCATACTGTCATAACCACACTTGTCAAAGGTTTTCTTTATCCTCTGTTGATCTATGCTTAATAAATTGATGACATTTTCACTAATAAAAGAGTTACAATTCTCTGATATAAGGCTGGCTTTTGGCTGGTTCACACTTTCAAAAAAATTTGAAAGCTCTCTTCTATTTTCTCCCCAAATATGTTGTACTGACTGTTTTTCAGTAATGAAGTCTGACTGTCTTTGCTCATCCATGCTTCCACATTCTTCACCCATAACCACAACAGGTCTTTCAGTAAGGAAATTCCTATTGCCTGGACTTGAAGATAAATAAAAACATATTTAGCAAGAAAAACATACAACATTTTCATTTCAAAACAATTAAATTCTTAGAGAACATACTGAGTAACTACTAATATTTACCTAGACTAGGTTTTAATTTTTTTAATTTAAATTGCTTTGGGTAGAATTTTGGGTAGAATATTGCTTTGGATCGAAATTTATCTAATGTACTCTTCTAGTACCTTAGTGAGTATAAAAATAATCTACACTTAGTTCAGTATTTCAAAATGAAAAATTAGCATGGGTTCAATTTACTGTTATATTAAAACAAAAACCTATAGTCTGTCTTGTCTTCTATAATAAGATCTAGTGAATAACCTAGACAATTACTGTGTGTAGCTCTGCTTCATTTAACCAGAGAAAGATATTTAAAGACTGTGAAGAGGAAAATTATCCTGTTTTAAAATCAAATAGTCATGAGAATATCATAACAGATTTTTCTCAACCTAACAACTCTGAAGTTCCCAAGGCAGAAAAATGTGATCCAAATGCATATATAATAAAGCCATGATATAAAATAAATTAGATGAAAAGGTTAGACTAGATAAATTTTAAGTTCCTTTTTAACTCTACTTTATGTCCAACTTGTATCAAATGAAAGCTATCATAGGACATAATTAGAAATCAAGATATTTCAAATTTTGTTGTCACTGACTACCAACAAATTTACTTGGGGGTTGGGTTGTTCCAGAGACTGGAGGTACCAAAGAAATTTAGAAAAGAAATATAAGCCACTAGAATTCTGAAAGATTTTCCAATTTTATTTTTTAAGTTATTTATTAAATACCTAATAAGCAGGTACACTTGTTGTGTTCCAGACACTATGCCATGTGTTGTGGACAGAGAAATAAAAGAATTCAATTTGCCATTAAGGAGAGAGAGATGTTTTACCCATGAATGTTCACAGATCATGATCCTACACTGTTAATCAACACAGGTCTCATTGGTGTTTTGGGCAACATAATGCGATAATATTATACCAAAAGGCATAACCTATAGTATGCAATAATATACAACATTAACACCAGAGAAATTTTTATTACTCTAAAAAAATAAATGCAATGAAAGACTTATCTATGTATATTAAACAGACATTTAATGTATGCCTATTATGTGGCAGGGAAACAATACAGCTTATATTCTAGTTAAGGAAAAAAATAATTAACCATTAATAAGTACAAAGGATAAAAGAAATACAGAAATAAACAAATAAAAAGGATAATTACACTGCCTTTATAGATGCTACAAGATCATGTGATGGGATAACCTGTGTTAGAAGTCCTGTATCAGATAGTCTGGTCAGAAAAGTCCTTAGTAAGGAAGTGATAAATAAGTAAAAGACACAGAATGGCTAAACATGTGAAGAAAGGAGTAAGCATATTCCAAAGGAATAGAATAATAAGCACAAATGCAAAATTTGCCACACATTTGAGGAACAAAAAAACGAACAGGGGTGCCTGGGTGGCTCAGTCAGTTAAGCATCTGCCTCTGGCTCAGGTCACAATCCCAGAGTCCTGGGATGGAGCCCCAAGTTGGGTTCCCTCCTCAGTGGGGAGTCTGCTTCTCCCTCTGCCCCGCCCCCCCAGCTTGTGCTCTCTTTCACTCTCTCTCTCAAATAAAATCTTAAAAAAAAAAAAAAGAAAGACTGAATAGAATCAGTGAAGGAAAACCTATGAAAATCTATGACCTAAGTCTTAAAAGGCCCAGATTATACAGAACTTAATATTTTTAATTCAAGCATAATTAATATACAGTGTTATATTAATTTCAGGTATACAACATAATGACTCAATAATTCTATGCATTATTCAGTGCTCATCATGATATGTGTACTCTTAATCCCCTTCACCTATTTCACTCACCCCCACCCACCCACCTCCCCTCTGGTAACCACCAGTTTGTTCTCTAAATAAAGCATCTGGTCTTTTGTCTCTTTCTTCTTTGTTCATTTGTTTTTAAATTCCACAAGAGTGAAATCATATGGTATTTGCCTTTCTCTGACTAACTTGTTTCACTAACCATTATACTATCTAGATCCATTCATGTTGTTGCAAATGGCAAGATATCATTCTTTTTTATGGCTGAGTAATATTCCAGTCTGTGTATATATATGTGTGTGTGTGTGTGTGTGTGTGTGTATCTTCTTTACCCACTATGGATGGACACTTGAGTTGGTTCCATAATTTAGCCCTTGTAAATAATGCTGCAATAAACAAAGGGGTGCATACATCTTTTTGAATTAGTGTTTTAATTTTCTTTGGATACCTGGTAGTGGAATTACTCGGTCATATGAATAGAGCTTTATTTTTTTAAAAGAACAATAAGAAGTACTGAAAGGTTCTAAATACAAAAGTAAAACTGACTTGCTTTTTGCCTTGAAAAATATCAGTTTGATTGCTAGGTGAATACGTTTCAAAACTTCCAACTGGCCAATACAAAGCAAGAGGAACTAGACTTACCCTCCTGACTGACACAATTAAAAAACTGGACAAAATATATGAGATAAAAGTTTTCATACATGGACCATCAGGTAGAACAGGATAATGATTTTTTTTTTTTTTAAAGATTTTATTTATTTTTTGACAGAGAGAGAGACAGCAAGAGAGGGAACACAAGCAGGGGGAGTGGGGGAGGGAGACATAGGCTCCCTGCAGAGCAGGGAGCCTGATGCTGGGCTCGATCCCAGTACCCTGGGATCATGACCTGAGCTGAAGGCAGACGCTTAATGACTGAGCTACCCAGGTGCCCCCAGGATAATGATTCTTGAGAAAGAAAGCAAATGAGGTGAACCCCATGATTGGTCCTAGCTTACTGCCTGCAGAAAATATACAAGCCACAGAATATAAAGGGACAACCCAGTTAGAGCTCACAGATCCCTTTGTTGAGAAAACAGAGCTGGGGGTTCAGAAAGAATACAGAGGATAGAGTTCACAGGGCAGATTATCACTAGGAGAGTGCTTCAATGAGAGAGCACTCTAGAGATCTACGGCGAGTTCTCAAATCTTCAGCTAAGTACTGATCAGCACATGCATATGAAGAAATAATGCCCAAGGCTGGAGGTAGGGAGGAGGATAAAATATCTAACAGGATAAGATGGAACAAGTCCAGGAACTCACATACAGATGGGAAAATTTTGTGTTCCCATCAACCAGAGTGGAAAACCTCGTAATTCAAAAGGAATCACAGAGTATTCAAAGGGTATATTGCCTCAGCAGAGGGTGAAATTAACCAAAAACTAAAGGTATATCTAGTCCTGCCTAACAAAATTTAAAGCAAGCCTCAATAAGATCATAGTATTTCCAAATAACTAAACTGTATCTAGAACAAAGCTTAGGATGATTTATAGGGATACAAAAATATCCAGACACCAAAAAGATGAAAATTCAGAATTTATAGAATCCAAACAAAATTACCAGGAATACAAAGAAACAGAAAGTACAACCCATAATGAGAAGGAAAATCAATTATTAGAAACAGACCAAGAAATGACACAAATGATAGTATTTGTAGACATCGATATTAAAAAAGTCATCGTGCCTATATTCCCTATATTCAAGAAGATAGAGGAAAGACTGAGCATGTTGAAATAAATGCATGGAATATATAAAGAAAAGTTGAATGAAACTTACAGCAATGAAAAATATACTGAACAGATTTATGAGCAGATGAGACATCAAAGAAGATACAACTAGTGATTTTGAAGATAAAGCAATATAATCTATATAAGGTGAAACACACAGAAAGAAAAAATACTAAAAATAGATGAACAAAGCATCAGTAAACTGGGACACAACTTCAAGTGGACTAATTTAATGTAATCTGAGTCCTCAAAGAGGAAAAAGGAATCAGAAAAAATATTTTAAAAATTAATGGCTGAACTGTTTCCAAATTTGATAAAAACAGTAAGTCCACAGATTTAAGAAGCTCCACACAGCCAAAACACAAGAAGTGGAAAGAAAATGAACATCCTAATTAATGGATAAAAATCCATGGTAGAAGGTGCATGACAGAGAATCCATGATAGAAAAATCTTAAAAACAGAAAAATTATATATTATATATACAGATACTAAGATAAAAATGACAGCAAATTTCTAGTTAGAAACAATGCAAGTCAAAAGACATCTTTCAAAAAGAGTACAATAAAGACAAATACACAAAAGATAAAAAGAATGAATCACCAGCAGAACTATACTAGAAGAAATTTTAAAGTCTTTAGAATTGAAGGAAAATGTCACCAGATGAAATTCTAGATCTACACAAAATCATCGAGACCACCAAAAATGGTAAATTTGTGCTTAAATATAAAAAATATGTTTTCTAATAACTCTCTTTAAAAAGAGCAATAATGTATTATTGGATCTGTAACATATATAGAAATAAAATATATGAACATACACAAAGGCCAGAATGGAGAAATGAAAGCATACTATTATGTTATTATACTATATGTGAAGTTGTATAACTTGAAGACAGACTGTGATAAATTAAAATATATACTATAAACTAAAGCAACCACTGAAAAACAAACAGTTATAAGTAATAAGCCAACAAAAGGGGTAAATTAAGTCATAAAAAACACTAAAACGAAATAAAGGCAGATGAAGAGGAAAAGGAAACATTATATGGGACAAATAAAAAACAAGAGAACAAATTTAGGGGCACCTAGGTGGCTCATTCAGTTAAGCACCTGCCTTTGGCTCAGGTTATGATCCCAGAGTCCTGGGATCGAGTCCCACATCGGGCTTCCTGTTAAGTGGAGAGTCTGCTTCTCCCTCTCCCTCAGCCTCTCATGAGAGAACTCATGTGCTCTCTCGCTCGCTCTGTCTCGCTCTCAAATAAATATCTTTTTAAAAAATTTAAAAAAACAAGAGAACAGACTTAAATCCAACCATATCAATTACCACATTAAATATAAACCATACTCTTGACCATAATACAAGTCTTAATAAATTTGAAAGGATTCAAATCATACAAA